TAAATCATTGAATGCAGCAAAAAGAGTATAGGGGATAGGACGGTACCTGAGAAACACCGGCATTCACTGACATGAACTGCGAACTACATCCGTCGCCGTCCGTTGACGTTCATGCAGGAAGTCAGCCACTCAGGCACAGAACTGAGTAGGCAGACCGTATCCAGGAAGCTTGGAGAGAAGACTTATGTGCCAGACCCTATCAAAGCCTTGGCGATGTTAAGGCTGATAGCCAAAGACTCACCTCGCTTATCGATAGCCTCACCCCAGATATATGTCACGTACGCTAGAAGGTCACCTGTCGATCGATTCGTTCTATCCTCTTTTACTTGCCTCAAATATAACGCAAACATATTATATATATATTTTTTGCAAAAAGCGACAGATTTGTTAGTTTTTACTTCATCTAGTAAAATTAAAATATCTGGTAAAATTCAAACAGTCAAGTCAAAGCCAATTACAGGATACTCACAGGATATTTTAAGTGTCTACATGAAAAATGAGTTTAAATCCGAAACTTGGTTTCAACAATTAATACGTTTACAAATTTAAGTGTTTTGAATGGGTTTATTAGGTTTTAAATCAAGAAAATTTGGAAATAATTTGCAGTTATTTTGTTTATTCATTAGCTATTTCAGGAAGTATGCGTCGTAGAGCATAATGGGTTTTACCTGTAGATGCGGCTTAATGAGACGGGTCGATTGGTATTATAAAAGTTCAGTAGCGGAAAAGTGCAGATAATCGGTTTTGGCACTAAGGGGACGATTTACTAATAATAAACTTCTCGCTTTCTAAACGCGCTTTGTTCGTTATTTTGAAAATGTACATATTAATAATTATAATTAGTAATAATATTTAATAGGAGTAACAATTAATTAATTCTTCATTAATAATTCTTATTAAAAAATAATGAACAAAAATATTTACAAAGAATAAAGACATTTATTTAAATTCAAAATAGGGAACCCTTCTACTACAAAGGCGATGTTCTTGGCTGTATCATTTCGGTGGTAATTTTTTACCATTTCGGTAGACAATTTTCATTTCAGTGGACTGCCGAAAACTCATCCTTAAATATTTCAGTAATTGGTGATTGTTGAATTTGCCCCGTAGGATCGTTTAAAAATAGAAAAAAAACCATAAACAATATTTATTTATTTTTTATTTTGCACCTTTAATTGCATTTTGTGTAAAAACTATGGGAGATACGCGAAAATAAGTTGATACCTTTTTAACTTTGTGCTACAAACTTTTTCTATTTTTCCAGCCAGTCGCGAGATATTGACGAAAAACTCGTTTTTGCACCATTTCGCATTTTTTTTTCACCCTTTGCCGTCAATGCAGCACCCTACAATTTTAGTATATTAATCTACGAACCCTTGCGGAAATTTTCGCGTTGGTTGCAGGTGATCAACTCAAAATGGCAAAGTTAAGCCTTCATTGACTGGACTATTAGACTGATGCTAAATTTAGTTTTAAGTTTAGACTAAGTTTAGACGCACTATCCGTAAATGGAATGCTTTGCCCACTCACGTATTCCCGCCCTCTTACAACCTGGGATCCTTTAAAAGAGGCGTGAAGAAGCAACATGCAGTCCGGCAGGGTGAGGATGTCTGATGTGGCAGGTAGAACTGCTGTGTCAACTAACTTCGCGTCTGGAATTCACCGTCACTTAACATCAGGTGGGGTGGAGTCATTTGTCGGACATGTATTTATATATATATACATATATATATATAGCTACTTCGACACCTTTATGTACTTTAATTTTACCATATACATTTTAAAACTACACATTAAAAATGATAACGCGTGTTATATATAGGTCTGTACAATTTTAAAAACATTAAATATTTCTTTTATTGTACCTTATGTATGGATTAGCCAACAACTAATCAAATCTGGATGGCGTTATACACTAACTGCACAGGTCGACCACGATCATGCCACACTGAGGTAAACTATATTAAATATTGACCACAGGATATGTTACTGAAAGAAGACATAAGAAGAACTGCATTAACAGATTTTTTTAAATCGTCTTCCACAACCCGGAATGATACTCGTGAAATGTGAAACAAAAAATAACACATGATTATATATTATAATCGTCGAAAGGGATAATTATAAGGATTTCTTTTATATGAAAAAAAATCGTGTTATTCGACATTTTATTGATTGCAAAGTAGATACTATAAAAACGAAACGGCGCAATTTTGTTTTCTAATTTAATTTATCAAATGTTAAAAATGTGATCCATTCTGTAGAATTCCATTCAATTGTCAGTTTTTTTTTTGATTGTCAATTTACTTAATTTTGCAATGAATGATTGAAATAATAATATTCATTTTGTAACTTCTGCACACTATAGTACCGGTTCTTGCAAACTAAATCTTTGACATAAACCCACAAAAAAGCCAGTTACATTGTTATTGGAACCATTCACATTTCACGAGTTTGGTTCCCGGTTGTGGCAGGCGATTTTAAAAACCTGTGTATGCGTTTTTACTTATTATTAAAAATAAAATGATGATTTCCTATCTTCAATATTTAATAAACTTTTCGTCCGTGTTGCGTGGCCATGGGACGCCCTGTATGAGACTGGCATATTCATTTCTTTCTTTTACGTTTGCAACATTGACGAGGTTTATACTAACCTGATGAGGGCTATCGAGTATGAATCCGCCGCTAGAGGCGCTAGTGTAGCGTGATGTCTCCGAAATGTCAAATGTTATTGCTTGTTGGTTGACTACACGGGTTTATTTCTAATTAAAATAATGTTGTTATAATTTGTGACAATTCGGCTTAATTATGGCAAATATGAGTTATGTGGCAATGAATGTCAGTTATTAAAAATTTGAGCTTAGAAAAATGATTATGTTCCCATTTTTTCCGAATAAAACGGAACTGCGCGTCACTGTGGCATGGCCTATTATGTTTAGGATATGATTCTTTTGTGTTAAAATACGATCTAAATGTAACCTGTGAGTTGATGTGCGTATTAATAAACTTTAAAAGTTACAATTTAGGACCTCACTCAACAGTGGCGCCATCCGGTGAGGCAGAAAACGGTAGCCCTCACTATGTGTGTTTAGATACACTTGGCTCACGAAAATTTATTAATTTTGAACGAGCAAAAGCAAAAAATTATATTTAAATAAATTAAAAGGTATTATTTTCATGCTATGCATATTCTCATATGTCACATTTGAGATTATTCGCAAACAAGATAAAATAAAATGAAAAAATCTTTTTCATTAATTTGACCCAGCAAAACATTTATTTTAGCGACAAAAGATAGTACATCTATTATATATTATCCAAATTTTATTTGTCTTCATACTTAACTTTATTAAAATTAATGCGGCTTATAGAGAGAAAAGGACGTATAAGAAAGTGTATATTTTAATAATAATATTTCTTATATATTTCTGCATGACACGGTCCAGTGTTTACAAAGCTTAAGACTTTGACCACATTGATAAAATTACCTTATCAGGTTTGGTCAACAATACTATCCGACGTCTACATGATATAATCCATATCAATATTATCTATTAACAAAAATAAGTTGCATAGATTTGATGCAACATTTTTGGTACGTATATAATCAATAATCGCGTTTCATAATACCTAACATCATCTCATCAGATGTTTGAGCTCAATTTATTTAAGTTATTTTTTTGCAAGTTTCTGATTAATGCTTAATTTTTATTGCAAAATCTTTTTCTCTACTTTCATCATCATCAGCATATTAATGTCCCTACTGCTAGGGCACAGGCCTTTCCTATGGATGGAATAGTGAGATTGGGTCATGACCCACCACGCGGGCCCAGTGCGGATTGGCGGGTGCTAACGAATGCAGATGCAGCCGGGACCAACGGCTTAACGTGCCTTCCGAAGCACGGAGGAACTCGAGATAGAAGATTTTTGGTCACCCATCCAATGACCGACCACTGCGAGTCTTTTTCTCTACTTCCGACTGTGCAAAATTCTCAATAAGAAAAATGAGAGACAAAAACGAGCGGTTTAACTAATTAAACTTGAAAATGGATCGATATTTTTACCATTAATTTTATCAAATACTAGCAAACCAGGCGAACTCCGTTTCGCCACCAGATAGATGGCTTCGTTTGGTGCTTAAAAGAAGATTTTTTTTATAATTTTTCTTGAATTTTCTTTGCTATAAACCCCACGGAGCCCGAGACCTTTCCAACGAATGCAAAACCGTGGAAATCGGTTCGTGCGTTCTGGAGTTATAGCGTCAGGAAGGAAAACCCGACTTATTTTTATATAGTAGATGAGAGTTGTGTATGCCTGTAACTGTTTTCGCACCACTTTATGCATAAAGAATAATTTTAAATTATATTGGGTGTAAAAATGAGGGAGTACAGATGTACAATAGGTTGCAAAACGACATTGTGGAATGTGATAGCAAAAACATGTATAAAGTAAATTAAAAAAATATGTATTGTCACTGTAAGGAAAATTTTGTATTTCATTTCCGCCTAAGGATTCGATTTTATTTTATTTATTTTTTAATTATATTATATATAATTGTTTTGCTATTTTCATAAGAATAACATTGTGAATGCTCATAAGATCAAATAACTTACTATTATTAACACTGGGCTTTGAACAATTCAGTCATAAAACAAGAAAGACATAAGTACCAACTACTTTTCAAGGGTGTTGAACTTAAGTATTAGTATCAAATTTGCAACTGTAATATCCGATGATCCAAAAGGAGCAATAAGTAATACACAACTGCATGTTATTTTTATATTCTTATTTTAAGTGGACTGTATATCTTTATGGGAAATAAATTATCTTTAAACCTAATGTTGGCATGCCAAATAAATAAATAAATTTCTGAGTACAGAATATTTGAGTAATGATTTTTTTTACAAAAACAGTACTCCGTTGTTGATAAACTAAGATTTTAACAAAAAGAAACAAACTGGTAACTGAAACGCGAAGAAGGTAAAAGAACAATGCCTTACCAAAACAGAGGCGTCCGCTTCGGTTTGTCTCCCTCTAACCGCATGAGGTAGAAAAGGAAGGCACTTCCGATCATAAACATCAGTGTTTGCTTGGACTTTGTCATTTCAATATAACCAGATCTGCTGAGACACTTCAGACAGTATTCGATGAGCTGAAATTAAAAATAATACTAATTATATTTTTTAAGCATTCAAATGCTACTTATATGATGAAATCTTAAGAAAATTTTACTAAAAAATAATCCACGCAGCAGACGGGACTCGAACCCACACTGACTATTATGCTACCGCGGCCCTAATAGGGTATTTGACAGTAATAAAAATAAAGTGCCAGTTGTTAGCATCTGTGTTTAGAATGAATATTGGCAGAGATTTTTACTATTTTTACAAAAAAAATACTCATAATTTTACTAAAAACCCACGGAAAAGATAATAGTTTTCTGATCTATTGTCATGTGACCCAAAACGCTTGGGATTGGCGGAGCCTAAAATGACGTCACACGCAAGTAAACTAAAAAAAAATAAAAAATTACATTGTATCGTTTGACATTTTAATAACAGTCATGTGACGTCACACACTAGTAAGACGCCATATTGTCCAGAGAAACGTTTTCGCGGCAACTTGAAATTGGAGTTTATGATTTGGTTATTTTTACTGAAATACACAACAAAATGATGACCACTTTTTACGGAATCCATAAACATTAGCCAATAACGTGAGATCGTTTTCTAAAACTTGTCAAATACCCTAATTTCTTAGAATGCAAGGCACCACCATCTCTTCGCATTTTAGGTAACCCACAATGTGTATTTTTTCTAGTAAAATTTTCTGTAGATTTAATAATAATTTATTAATTAGTCTAGAAAGAAGAGCTCGACGGCACATAAATTTGTGCGTAAGGTCTACAAAATTATTTTCAAATAGTGATAGATATAGTGCTTATATACGAGAGGCGTGAAGCAGCATTTTTGCAGGCCGGCGAGGTGAGGTTGGTTAGTGTGGCAGTTAATAACTGCTGTACCAGATACCTTCGCGTCTGGACTTGATCACCACTTAACATCAGGTGGGGAAGAGTCATTTGCCTACCTATCTATAAACAAAAAAAAACTCAGAAAGGATTGAGTTGTGGACATCTCTTTTCACGCATTTGTTTCTTAGGTTTTCACGCACATCACTCATTAAATAAAACTAGTTTTAACGGGTTTTTGCACGAAACTTTATTTATTTATTGACGTTTCGCAGCCTTTTCAGGTCTGCATCGTCAGAATAATTATTTTTTATTTTATTTCATAAAACATAACATACTACTCCAATAAGATATTGTATAATTAGATTTATGATTTATGTACGATTAATAATTATATAAGTATTGTATTATATCTTTTTATAATATAAATTATATAGATCTCTAACATTTATTAAACAAATAACTATAATTACGTCACAACAATATCAAACTAAAAACTTATCATTAAAAATTAACCCTAAAATATTAATATACATATTCACAAGAGGAATATGTCATCCAAAATTATAAACATAACATTATCCTTTATTTTATTTCATAAAAAAAAACATTATTCTGACGATGCAGACCTGAAAAGACTGCGAAACGTCAATAAATAAATAAAATTTCGTGCATTAACCCGATAAAAATAGTTTTATTTAATCTCTTTTCACGATTTTGTCGAATACTTGATATCCCAAAAGAAGGGATGTAGGGATGTCGAAAGTTGAAAAAAATATCGATATATCGATACATCGATATTTTAAAAAATATCAATATCGGCTTCGATATATCGCGAAAAAAACATCGATATATCGGAACAATTTTTCCAAAAATATCGTACAGTAGCTCACGAAATATGACACGCGGAATAAAATTATCTGGAAAAACGGAACGAAAATTATCTCCCTAAAAATAGACCCTATTTTCGAATGATGACATAGACAATACTAAATACAGCACAGATCATAGATATGTTGAATATCATTAATCTGAGATCCAGTTACGATTTTTCCAGATACGGATTTAGTTAGATCGTGATTTGCCGCTAATAATTAAAAAAATATCGTTTTTGATACGAATTTCGATATTGGTTATTTTGTATCGATGTATCGATATATCGAATCAAAATATATCGGCAAAAAACATCGATATATCGAAAAAAAAAATAGCGATATATCGATACATCGATATATTTTCAACAAGCCTAAAGGGATGTTTTTAGGCTAATGATGATGATGATAATGATATACCTACCTACCGGCACTCACCAGATTGACAAACAAATTGACGACCAAACTCCTTCTGTGCGGCGGTTCTAAATATATGAATAAACCGTTGATTGTGAACGGTAGTAGAAGTGTTGTGAAATAGCTCTTCTTGATTCCAATTTTCCTGAAAGAGGAGGATTTTTTTTGATGTAATTATGAATTCGTAAACAGAAGGTCTGCAGTATTGGATGAAAGTTTTTGTTGTGTTTTGTTTTTGCTTTGTAATTGTTTGCAGTGTCCTACAGATAAATGACTTTAAGTTTAAGTAAATTTGTTGTGGTTGATATAGGTGGTTATGGGTAGACATGCTCTCTTAAAAGTCTCTTCGGTGGTGTCGTGTGAGGCGGGTCGTTACGTTCCCTAAAATATGGTTGAGCGAAGCGATGGCTGGTTCATGCGTCATGCTCGTGAACGGGTGCTGCCAGCGGAGATGAGTCTGCCCTAACTACTTTAATATTTGAGATGTAAATGTTTAATTACACCTATTTATAAATAACTCTGTTTGCATTTATACTGTGTGACACAGCAATCAAAATGCAGATGAACAATTAATGTATAATTTCACATTGTGTAATATAGGGTGACTTCATGAATCATCTCTGAAGTCATTTTTCAGCTTGACGACTCTCTAAATGATAAAACAGGGAGAAAAAAACAGCCCTTGCTGAGTTTCTTGCCGGTTCTTCTCAGTACAAGGTCTCCCGCTGTAGATTTACGAACCGATGGCGTAGCTTCTAGACATTCATATGTGCTTGTAACAACCTAAACTGAATAAATGATTTTGATTATGATTATGAAAAGCAATTTTTGCCATTCAGCCGTATTTTGAGTGATTCAGTAATAAACGCACGATTAAGAGAGCTTTCACATTTATAATATTGGTAAGTTAAAAGTTTTAGTTGCAATTGCAGTCTACTCCATAATCTTCTAATAAAATTTCTTTTTTGCTCATATTTGCTACATATCTGATGCTACATAACAAATTTCACCTCTTGGGTGGCAGCCTCTTCTTATCCTTTTGAAGAAGGGAAGAGGAACTATAAAGCCATTTTTGGGACCACATTCAACGTACCTTTGTCTCTTTGAAGGTACTCAAGAGTATCATTTATGTTATAAAGCGAAATAAAATCTCAAAAATGTTATTAAAATGGTCGTATGACAGAGCAGAGAATCTTTTAAGGATAATGAGTTGATTATACACATACGCACACAACACACAGTTAAACACACACACAAAACACTCACTATCACCAATGTATCCATTCTTTTAAGTTGGTTGTATTTTTAGGCTGTAAGTTATATATTGTTAATTTTTTACTTCCCCCATAGGACGGGCTTCGCCTAGTATGGGTGACTGTTATGTCTTACTGTAATGTTGTTTATGAATAAATGGATTATTATTATACTATAAACTTGTTTTGCTTCTGCAGTCTTTACAACTGTTTAAAGTGCATCGGCATAAAGATAGTACTTATTTAGTTATAAATTGCAACCCTAATCTCTTACTTCCTTTAAATAAATATTCTTGTGAAAATAACAGGCCTTCGGCCTCACCCAAATACACAGTTGAACACGATGTAGGAGAATGGAATAGCGGTCCCCAATAATGTAGACCTCACGAAATACTCCATTAGATTCCTCCATGTCCTCTTATGTTTCAGCTTCTTGCCTTGCATCAGAATTTGTATCTGCAAAATATCGAGAATTAATTATTTGCTCATCCAGTTCTTTCCGAAATCAAATAGAGCCTTCTCTTCCAAAGTTACAATCACTAATTTGTTTGTGTGGGAATCACGAAAATTAAGATTTAATATATGAAGGATTCCAATACAGATTCATCGTTCTTTCATTTAAGGTTTTAGGATATTTAGTTTTGGTTGGTGTATTGGCAACGATAGAAATTTTTGCTACAATAAATGCTCCGTCCTTAAATCGTGTTTTCTCTACTATTTTTTTTAAAATGAGCACGAACGTTTTATTATTTATGAGGAACTCGACGGCGTAAGTGTTTAGTGCGTTCGGCTGCGATCGCTGAAGTTAAGCAACTTTCGCAGTAGTCTGTCATTGGACGGGTGACCGAAAATTCACTATCTCGAATTCCTCCGTGCTTCGGAAGGCACGTTAAGTCCCGCCAGTATAACGTTAGCACCCGCTGATCCGCACTGGGCCCGCGTGGTGGGTCATGGCCCAATCTCCCTATTCCATCCATAGGGAAGGCCTGTGCCCCAACAGTGGGGACATTAATAGGCTGATGATGATGGACGTTTTATGCCGATTAATGTTTGTAAATAAAATCGCTAAGCTTCTAACGAAATAATTGGTGAGAGCAGATTGGAAAAGCACTGAAGGATAAAATTACCAAATAAATTATTGTGTAAAACCGTGTGCTGCCAATCGTTGTATCCGCCAATACCTTCGGCCACGACTTGACACAGCTCTCCGTCCACGGGTGGAACAGGTTGTGGCATGCCATGTCCTCCACTAAGTCATTGTACAGGTGCTTGCTAACCGCCGCCATTTTGGTTTTATCCTAGCTGATTTAGTAAAAGAAGGAACCCCTGAAACAAAGATTATAGTCTTATCAATCCCAGCTGAAACCCTTGATGAGAGTAGAGCAATACTGTTCCTTTTGACGCCGTTTGGTCGAAAAGAATATCTATATCTTCAGTCAAGCTTACTTTCAGTATGAATACAAAACGCGACTTATACATTTATTTCATTACTAGTGGCCCGTCCTCGCTTCGCTTCGGTGTAGAGCTGTAGTGTAAACTATAGTTTTTGTTCTCAGGCTTGTTCTATAAACAATGACTTTATTTATATAATTACACGTGTTATTGTGAGTCAACCATAAAAGATAGACATATGCTGTTGCGAGATATTTTTTAGACAATTTTATGTAGAATATTTTCGTCGTACATGATTTCTATGTAACGTTAACCATTAAGGCTGCACACGCGACGGAAGCTTAAAAAATGGAGTAACTTCTCCCGTTTTCCCAACATTTCCCTTCACTACTTTGCTGCTATTGATTGTAGCGTGATGAAAAGTATACATAACCTGCCCAGGAGTATGAAGAATAATTGTACCAAGTTTCGTTAAAATCCGTCGAGTAGTTTTTGTTTCTATAAGGAACATACACACAGACAGACAGACAGAAAGACAGACAAACATTTTACTGATTGCATTTTTGGCATCAGTATCGATCACTAATCACCCCCTGATAGTTATTTTGAAAATATATTTCATGTACAGAATTGACCTCTCTACAGATTTATTATAAGTATAGATTATTGACGTTTCAGATTGTAAATCTACAAGCTTCTTGGTCGCAAGATTGATGACGAAACTGAAATGACAAGAATAATAGAAATAGAAAAAATCGCTCTATATATATCCATATAGGGTCCCACTAAATTGTTGGAGTTTATGAAAACATAAGAAAAAATTTGTGAAAATATATGTATTCTATCTGCTACTGCAGTATCACATATCACAAGCCTACAGTGCTAACTTTGGGGTTAGGTTAATTGTTGTGAGTGTTGAAAAATAAAAAAGACGTAAAACACATCCTTCGCTATCCGGGCGAATGCACTGACCATTATACTACCACGGCCCTTTTAGCCGCGTCGAAATTTTCCTAGCCTTAAGCTGCAAGGCAGCGCCATCTCTTCGCATTGTAGGTACCCCACAATGTCAAATGAATACTTTTTCAAGTATTAAACATTTGAAAGAAGAAATAGCAATTGTAGTTATGATTTTATTTATTTTTTTAAGCATTTTACTGCTAGATGTTTAAATCTAAAGAAAAGTTTACTAGACAAAAATACTCCCGTCCAGTCCGCTGCCTGGTCCGCGTGGATATTTTTCTAGTAAAATTTTCTTTAGATTTAAACATCTAGCAGTAAAATGCTTAAAAAAAAAATCGTAAAACACATTTTTAACAATAGCTAATCATTATGGTCATATTTAAGAATATATCTCCGCCTCGCCTACTTCAATCAAGCAGACTCAGTCGCCTAGTTGAACTAATATTTGTGTCAAGGCAAGACGATGCCATTTAATGTCTATGGAAGGAATGAATAGATTCTAAATTAATTTGAATTAATATAGAGGATATTGACGGTAGTGTTGCCGATCGATAGTTGACTATCGATGATTAATCGATAGTCTATCGATAGCCAACCAATCTTATGACAATCGATCGGCACAGAAAAAGCCAATACTATCGGATGAGTTAAATACTATCGATAGTTTAACAATTTGCAATAGTATTGTTTACAATTTTCAGGTATTATAGTCAATCTCAAACTTTAGTCTAGGACAATCGCTAGTGTCGATACTATCGATAATATTGTTGCAGATAAAATCAACACTATCGATACTATTAATAGTTTGTTATTAACGAACTACAATAGTATCGATAGTATCGGCAGTATTGCACTCATTCGATAGTATTGCCTTGTTCTGAGCTATCGATAATATCGATACTATCGGTGCTATCGATTCTATCGATAGGCCTATCGACAGGGTACATGATTTTCGATGTAAACTGTCGATAGTTTTAATATCGATAGTTCGGCAACACTAATTGACGGCGCAAGTTGTTAGCGTGTTAGGTCATATATATAGATACCTTGAAGATACCTTGACCCCGCGTACATCGTACAGATTAAAATAATATTGTAGGAAATGAAGGGCCCGAGTCTACCGTACCAAAAGAGACGAACGTCAAATGTTTTGACAGGAAAGAAGATAGAACAGTTTATATGGGAAAATAAAATTGACGTTTTTGCTATCTTCCTCGCATTTTTTTTATATTTTCTCACCTTTTAAACCTTCCCTAGACCTCTACGAACATTTCAAGACGCAAGAAGATCAAGAAGAAGATATAGCGAGGCTAACGAACAGCAATTGATTTATATATATATAAGTATATTTATATAGAAATATATATTGAACATCTATGACTGGAGAACAAATATGCTCGTAATGCTCAAACAAACATCTGCCCAACCGGTACTCAAACCTGGGACATCTCGAGAAGGACACCTTGAAAACCGACTTTCAAACCACTCGGTCACGGAGGTCGTCAAATTTACGGAAAATTATTCCGGTTGGAAAAAAGTCCCTTCTCAACTGGGAACCGAACCCAGGCTGTTCGCGTGACAGGCTTTTACCACTGAACCAATGTTGCAAAAATATTAGTATTCAAGGAAGGAACACATTTGAAGGGAAACTTCTTATCTTAAATAAACTAATATTAGGCGGTGCATAAGGCGTCGCCATTACTCAGGCCGCCACCGCTGTCATTAATAGGAAAGTCAAAAACTACAAGATACGTATATTATCTGATAGTATGGCTGTCCTAAGAGCCCTAGATAGTAACAGCAAAACTTCTGGGCTAGTATACGAATGTCACCTGGCATTGGAGCACATAGCAACGGATAACAAGGTTATCCTCCAATGGATCAAGGGACATAGCGGTTCTGTGGGTAATGACGCAGCCGACGAACTAGCTAGAAGGGGATCATCACAGAAAGTGGAAGGCCCTGAGCCACTTCTGCCATTACCCTTCAATCAGTTTCGTACATGGATGCGGCAACGAACCACACAGAACCATAACACCCGTTGGGCGAATACCGAGGGCTGCAGCCAATCTAAGGATATTTTTCCCAACCTCAACCCCAGACTAACTAGGAAACTACTAAATCTTAACCGAAATGATCTCCGAGTAATGCTAGGCACCATAACAGGGCACTGCCCACTTAACAAGCATTTACTAACCATACGCGTTACAGATAGCTCTCTATGCAGAGGATGTCTGGAAGCAGATGAAACGGCCGCTCATGTGATCCTGGAATGCACGAGCGTTGCAGAACACCGGGCATCAATCCTCAGGAAGCCGAGGACGAGCTAAACACCTGCTAAAACGGGGAATCAAACTCGTGAAATTTAAAAAAAAAACGACATGTTTTTTTATGATAGCCATCGAAAGAGTTAATCATAACAATTATTTTTTACTAAATAGCATAGCAATTTAAATGAAAGAAAAGTCATAAAATTACACATTTTATTAAAAAGTATTAAACGAAAAGTAATGAAAAACGAAACGGTGCAAGAAAAAATAGTATGTAATGTATTGTCGCATATGGCGCTCGTGACGCACGTAGCGTTACAGCCTTTGCCGAGTTACCCTCCAACTCATTCAGAACATGTAATTTTGTTATTATGTACCACTGTAAAGAGGGGAGAGTACTGGTCTTCTGAGATACAGGCTGCGGCCTAGTTCAGATACCAGTCTCTCCACAATCTTGGCACTAAGACATTAATTAATTAAATAAATTTGTATTTTTTGTGCATGGGATTGTGAGGAGAAGAAATAAAGCATTATTATTATAATTATTAACTTTCACGCTCGTCGGGAAGAGCTTCGCACACATCTCCCCCTCTCACACACACACACACACACACACACATATCGTCTGTCCCTATTAACAAAGTCGTATCTCAAAACAGCAACTTTACAGGAGAGCACATCAAAGCTTAAAATGCTTATATTTTTTCACCTATGGCAAGCAGGCTTATGAAATATTTTACAGTATTCTTATACACGGTATTTATTGATTGTATAGTTTACTAGTGGCCCGCTCTCGCTTCGCTTCTGGGTAGAATTGATCAAAATCCTTTCTTAGCGGATGCCTACGTCATAACATCTACCAGCATGCCAAATTTCAGCCCAATCCGTCCAGTGGTTTGGGCTGTGCCTTGATAGATCACTATGTCAGTCAGTCACCTTTCAGTTTTATATATATAGATAAAATATGTAGGTTTACATAATAACGGCCTAACCCGACTGCATACAAAGACCTCCGCCCGATCAGTATCCTGTCTTGTCTTTCTAAGATATTGGAGAGAGCTGTCTGCTCACAGTTGACTGATTTCCTTGAAGCGAACAAAATTCTGCCTCAATTTCAGTCTGGTTTTAGGAAGGGTCATAGCACTGCTACAGATTTGATTGACGTTACAGATAATGTCTTGGCTGATCAGGATAGGGGTATGTGTACAGTTTTGGTATTGTTAGATTTCTCTCGTGCTTTTGATACTATAAACACCGAACTGCTGTTGGCTAAGATGAAGTTTTATGGATTTGACGAAAATACAATCAATTGGTTTCGAAGCTATATGTCCAATAGGAAACAGTTCGTCAAGCTCAACCAAAGCGATGGTAAATCTATAAAGTCATCCCTCAGCTCGGTAACTAGAGGTGTTCCGCAAGGTTCCATTCCAGGTCCTATCCTTTTTATATTGTACTGTGCTGATATAGTAAACTGTTTCCGAAAATGTCGATATCACATCTACGCGGATGATGTTCAACTTTATTTGTCTTTTAGACCTTGTGACTACGAATCGGCTATTGTTACGATAAACGATGAACTGCGTTCTATATGCAATTGGTCAAATAACAATTGCTTGGTTCTGAACCCATCCAAAACAAAATACATGGTCTTTGGTACCAGAAAAATGAAAGACATGCTGCCTTGTCATCTAAATATTTCTA